TTACAGTGTGTGAAATAGATTCAGATCAGCAATTTCTTCGGGGTTGGTTCACAGTTTGTATATTATTTTCTTTGAAGGCTAACTTTTAGGTACAAGCCTAAATGAAATCCGAGGAAGGAGACAAGGAAGCCCTTAATGTTATGTCTACAGTTCCTGTACTACTCCTCTCTCAGGCAGCTCAGTCACAGTAATGCCAGGGTGTGCAGGATGGCTGGAGCAGAGTGGCAGAGCGGAGCTCACTGCCAGGACTGGCATGGCACCCTCTGTCTGGGCTGACTATTCATAGACAATGACCCACATTCCTGAGACAGTGGCTGCTGGACAGAAATACTCCCCTTGTGACTTCAGACACGTGACTCCTTCAACACCCTGTAGGGTGCATGGGACAGATTATAGTGGAGATGGCTTTTTCAAAACCCAGCTGACAACAGCATTACCTTTTCAGACTCCTTTGAAAACATCTGTTTCTTTTTATCCCTTGGGTAGCATGTTAGGAAAATGATGTACTGAGAAAAACTGCTTCGGCTTGTGGTCTCACGCTGAGGATTAACTAAAACGAGACCGGCACATTTATAATCCCACTCTGAAACCGACCTACATTTGAACCTTGACCTCCACAAGAAAGAAACTTGATTTCCTGGGCCTTTCATTGTGTGGGCAGAAGCTTGTTTTCCCTACTTGTTTGTTGTCTCTGTGATAGGGCTACTGTAGACACAGTCCTAGGGAAGTCTCAGCCAATGGCTGTCTTGTTACAAAGCAAATGGATCAGAAAATGAAGCCCATATGGGCGAAACGCAGCATTTCTCTGCATGAGGGCCGGAATATCAGTCAAGGAGTAGTATAGGAGTAGCCATAGCTGGAAAGGCACACAGTACCTTGTGTGAGGCGGACAGGCCTAGTGACTGGGAGGCCGTCGATGGAGCAGGGGTTTCCACAGGGGTGCAGGATGATAACTCCTCCATTATTCTCGAGGTAGCAGTGCTGTGCCACGATCCCTGGGCCCTGGATATTGATGTCCTTTGCCGAATGCCCAACCGTGGTTCTGCCTGGAATATCAAGTCAATTAGTGCTTTCTTATCCCCCAGGGGAACATTTGACAGCTATTACTGCTGTGAAGGCTCCAGAAAAGAATAAAATGAATTGGTTGGTTGATTAATTGAATGATTGAAACAAACAAACAAACAAACAAACAAACAAACAAACAAACAAACAAACAAACAAACAAACAAACCTCATGATCACAAATGTAGGGGCAAAGATGTTTCAGGACATGTTAGAATGATTTTGCATTACTTAATAGTGAGATTGCAGAGGCGATGAACAATTTCCTAAGTCTATTTCTGTTACCCTATGGGGAACAGAGGTACCCCCCACTGGGAGTGGTGCAAGTTCACAGTGGAGGGCATGAGCCTCATATTCCAAAATTCTGCCATAATGCCATCAATTAGGTTACTCCAATACTTACATACTTGTGGTTCATGTTCACAATTATTCCTAATCTATTACAGATTGTAGTACTGATGTTTAATGCACCTCCCAATTCAACACATTCCCTCGAGGGGTGGCTAAGAAAATAATAGTCCTCTCTTTTAGAGCAGGAAAAGGTTTATCTATCACATGTAACACGTCAAGAAACTATAGCTATGCTACTGTACCTGTAGTGTCTGTCATTGTTAAAGAATCTCGTAATGCTTTGTTATCAGCTGGTCTGTTACTTTCTGTCTTTCGTTTTATGCAAATGATCTAAAATGAAGCTGGATATTGACAGTTAATATCACCCCTCCAATTATGAAACTCCTGCAAGAGATTTTTAAACAGAAATGTGGCTTATACATACGTTATTATTTCATTTGAGTTCTGTGGGAGTATTTCAATAATAGAACATTAGTTGAATTGCTTGATTTGTACATTTCTTCCAAAGGGGAATCATTTTCTGTTGAGTCTAGGAGGGATTACCGAGGAGGCATAGTGGAAACAAAGAGAAACTAAGAGACTAAGAGGAAACAGGTGTCTAATATTGTGGGTCATGTAAGTGGGTTTAGCAAGGGAAATAACAAAACTGATTTAATCTCAGAGCAACAGATCACAGAACTAAAGTCGTGCTTTCAGTAACTTTCAGTAAAAGCCTGTCACACACTCTCCCCACCCCCAAACCCCTTCAAAATCCTTGCCCTCATTTCCATTGAAATCCGAGATAAGGGAGAAAGCACTTGGAATGTCACGCCAGGATGTTAACAGACACTCCCCCCAGCTCATTGCAGGTCTTAACAAAACATCAAAAGCAAAATTCCTCCCAGATTCCTCTGCCAGTCTGACAAACCGAAGAGGACTGGGAACTGAGCCGGGGCCCAGTGAGGAACGATGGCCTGGCAGTTAAGGTGGGTTGGAGGTTTTGAGATGAGCTACATATTTGACACTTAAACTCCCACCCCCACCAAACACATACAAACTACAAAGAGAGGGCGACAAAAAAGAGGGTCAGGTCGTCACCCTTTAATTCGCCACCCAGAGGTCATAAACGCTCCCCAATCGAGGCAGTCTGTGTGTGCGTGCTTGGGGGCGTGTGCCGTTCTCATCAGGCCAGGGCAGAAGCCTCGGTTTGAGAATCCTGTCCTTGCTGCGGCACTCTGAGCCAGCGCCGACAGCCCTCAGAGTGGGGGTAGTGTGCGGAGCAGGAGGCTGATGTAATGGCTTCTGCTCCGAGTTAAGTGCCACTTTGTATGCAGCTGGCCCTGCCTGACGCACCGTTTTCAGTATTATTAACTACGAGACGGCCCTCTATCTGTCGTACCCTGGATGAGGAGATGTGGTTTGACGTGAACTTATTTGACTCGTTTTAAATCACTCCACCGCACAGCCGTTATCCTTTCAGAGTTTTGGGGGGTGTAACTTTAATTTCAGATTCTGGAACTCTCTGCCCAAGGATATCAGAGAGTCGCGTTCTCTAAACTCCTTCAAATCCAGACTCAAAACCTTCTTCTGTAGAAAAGCCTTTACTTAGTACCACCATCCACGGTCTCCTCTGTATATTGTAATTGTGTTTTATCTTGTGTATTATTTTTATTTATCGTTGATGTCATTCTGTAAAGCTCTTTGAGAAGCCACCTTTAAAGGAACTACATAAAATAAAGTTTATAATAATAATAATTATAATAATAATTATTATTATTATTATTATTTCTCCCACTCTGAACTTGCGTTTCGACTTCAGCTCTTTTTCAAGAGGCGAAATCTCCCAATTGGTCTTCAAAACATCTTGAAATCCAGCCTGCAAGCTGACGCTGTCCCAGTTTCAGTGCTTTCACCTTTTATTGCGCTGGTGAATGTTTCGGCAGTGGTCTTACCTTCCGGCAGTGGCAGCAATGTGATGGCAGTACTAAGGCGCCCACTTCCCAGGCTGACCAGATGGGGGCGCTCTGCCTGAACTTTCAGCCCCTTCCCGGTCTCAATGAGGTCCAGAGGGGTGCTCTGTGAGGGAGAGGACACACACACACCTGAAAAACCCACCATTGTTTAAGTCTCCCCTGTTTGTTGGCGAGTTGGCCAGTGGACTTGTGCACCTATCATGAGCATCAGGAAAGTTACTTTATGGGAAATAAAAATATTAGAGGACAGACTTCTGTGTTTTGACTTCTACTGTGCTTCCCTTGGAGGTAAAATTGAGAATATTGCCTGTCCTAGAAAAGAGTTAGAAAAAAACACAAGATAAATACTTTTCGGGAAAGGAGTCCTGTGACTTCACTATTCCCAATAAATCCTGAGTATCACTACAGCAGTGTTTAGAGCACTTTCCTAGGAGTCTCAGGAGATGCGGTCGATAGGGGGACTCTTATACTAGATGAATTTCACTTTCTGGTCAGCCCACCATTCACCAGGGTCTTGTTTGGACAGGGGCCACTCATCTCCACAGGGTGCTCATTGCCATTTCCTCCTCGTTGCTCCAGAACCGAGCCCCTCATATACCCCATTACCCCCATGTACCAGCCTCTTCTGTTACGGTGAGTAGTTCTGAACCCCATGCAGGTCACTGAGAGAGTCCGATGGCTTATGAGTCCAAGAGAAGCGAGGCAGCAGAGTGGTCAGTAGTCCCAGGCTAGAGGTCGGAGTCCGGTTAGAGAAGGCAGCGAGGTAAACAACTCCAAAAAAGGGGGCAAGAGGAAAGAGTGGTCAAAAGGTCCAAAGCTAGAAAGGTCAGTGTGTCGGCAGCCAGAGGTTCGAGGACGATGCGAGCTCAGATGGCGGATAGATTCCTAACACCGAGCGAGGACTGGGAGTCAACGGAGGGTTTAAATAGTGAGGGACGAGGAGATTGATTAAGGAGTAGATTGGTGCCGGCTGTGCTTGGAACATCCTCCTTACTGCCCGGGCACTTCGGCTGGTGGCATTCTCCGGCCAGAGAACATAGAGCTGTGGGAAACCTTTCCACCTGTGCATGTCATGCCCCGCACTCCCCCTCGCAAACGCCATTATATTCCCAAACCCACTGTTTCACGCTCCCATTCCTAACTGAACACATCACATTCTCACAGGCGCCAGATTCCACAGATTCTCACTCCTGAACCAATTATCACACCACGTCCCTCTTCCTTCACTATTTAAAGTTCCCTCATGCACCAAACCTGGCACACTATTGAAAAGCCTCCTTAAGAGTTTTCTAGTGCGCGTTTTTGTCTTGTTGGATTTCCCGGTTTTTGGACTTAACTTTTCCCTTTTGATCTGGTCTCTTGGATTTGGCCCTTCGGATTGTCTTCCAGGTTTGTCTCGGCTCTTTCTGGTTAACTGATCTCTAGCTTCTCCTATCAACCTTGCTTCTGGATTGCGATTTTGGATTGTTTCCCTCTGCATCCCATAGAATACACAGCTACGCACAGGATCCTCGGAAAACTACCTGCCAGATCCCTGACAGTGCCCTGGTGTTAAGGATGTTTATGTACAGTATTTCCTAACACTAAAAGGGCAGTAGAGCAGCTGAGCCAAATCTGACTTCCCTCCTGCAGATAATAAGAGGAAGCTGGGAAGAGTCGTCATGGCAACTGAATTCACTGGGAAGCTTAAATCTGAACTGAATATGGGAATGTCTCATGCCTGTGTTTCTGTAAAGAGTGGAAGACTGCTGTTGGAGCCAACACCAAACAAGCAGTTTACCCTAGAAGCCTAGTAAGGAGTAATAAATTCCCCTCATCTCTCCAGTATTTCCTACCTCTGATTTTGTACAGTGTGTAAAACAAACAATGGAAAGAGCAGCTTTCTTTATCAGCAGCAGTAATTTCCTGCATGGCAGGCTGCCTCCCAGATTAAGGGATCAAGTTCAAAATGCAAACTGCATTCCAGTCTCTCATCTTGTATGGTTCTTTCACTATGACCTTCTAGTTTATTGGTTCTTTCCTCAAGCATCACAACACCACAGTGACCACTGGATCCATTGTGGCCACAGGGTGTTAACCAGGCATAAACCATAAGGGCTGAGAGAGTATACCACCTTTCTTTGATGGTCCTGAATTATGTCATGCAGGGGAGGTCTGGAATACCTGAAGGTCACAACGGCTATCTTAGTTTTTGCCAAGAAGCCTTGTTCTCCACTAGACCTTCAACTCTGAGTGCAAGTCCACATTCCCTCACCCATCAGCAGCTCGGATGTGTATGCCACACCATCAGTACACCTGGATCCTCAGCTCCAGCATCTGCTGGCTTCCTCAGCGGACTCACAAAAACTACCAATAGCTCTCTGAAGTCTAGCCAGGTCATTAAGCCACACTCCTCTTCGGGAGGCTGTCCATGACTCCTGAAATAGGATTATCTGGATTCAATTAGGCAAATCAGTTTAACCCAGGAACAGATAACAGGATTTACTGTAGATTAATGATAACGCCATTTGTATTGACCTTGAGATAACAATCCGAAGTTGAGAAGTGATATGAGGTTTCGGTGATGACAGAATTCTCCATTCTGAATATTACTAAAAAAAGGCCTCTGTTTCCCAAGATGATGCCCTTGATCTTTCTTACAAAGTGGAAACAGTCTGCCTCCAGCTCTTTGCTGATTGATTCCATCTCCTGGCTGTCACGCCTTGCTGCATTTTGTTTCCAGTTAGACACAACTGATATTCTATCCTGCATGAAAAGACTAGAATTCAAGAAGTGGTATCAGTCTGTATCAAAGTTGTATTGAAACCACCTTTTGGAAATCCTGTAATATGGTTCTATGCACACTGCCAGATCACTAAAACCAAGATCCCAACCAATGCTACACTGAGAGATTTATGAATGTGTTTTTTGTTTCTGCCCACATGAATTCAACTTCTTATTGGGTTTAGGAAGCAATACAATAATCTAATGGTGAAACAGTAGCATGGAATTTAGCATTGCTGCCTCTCAGATCTTGTGTGTTGGAAATGGATATAGAAGTCTACATCTTTAAACTTTCTGTTCTTTGCCAAAGTTGTGCAGCATTTCTCTTTTTCCTGAGTCATGTGCTACTTAGCACATTAGGGTTTTGGGGGCTGGTCCTCCATCTTCTCTCCTGCAGATCCAGGTACATTGTGCTGTAGAGCGTTGTTGGAGCACAGAGCTTACAGTGGAATCTCAGGCAATGGTTACAGAGCCCACTCTGTCACACTGACACCTACAGGCAACAAAGCCGCCGGAGAGATCATCTCCTTCCTGGTCCAGGATATCCGTTGTTGGCACTTTGCAATACATTTATGGCAGACAAACAGCTGCAATTGTGCTGCACTTTCAGAAGCATGCCATTTAAAAAGTCCTGTTTGATTGAACCTTGTAAGCTCTCCCACAAATCCATTTAGACTCAAATGCCATTGTGTGCGTGTGTGTGTTTTCTATCTTACTCTTTCTTATCGCTGCCCTGCATCTTGTGACATTTGCATTGTGCATTCAATCAGCTTTAATACTGGTGTTAACCTTCATTATCTCACCCTATGTTTATCATTTTGCTGTATTTTGTGCCTCAATGTGCACTTTTCCCTTTGACATTCAAAACCATTGAGCTTAGAGTCCATGTCAAGTCAGAGTGACACCTTTTATGACTTCAGAACTGCCACTGGTCACAAGTACAGCCTGGTTACTTTATTACCTCTGAGCTCCAGCTGTTTTCTTGTCTTTGTCATGGTGCAATAAATTTACGTCATTCTGGCCAATCGGTCAATCTGATTGAAATGGCCTTTGAAAATGTACCAATAAGGAGTGGTGAGGGGGCAAAGAAAGAAGAAAGAACAGAGGAAAAGAAAGAAGAGGGTACAGGAGAGAGAAACTAGAACACAAAGAGTCTTAGGATCAAATGTGTGCCCGATGGCATTTCAGTTAGTAAACAAGCAAAACATCACTTGGAACTCTCCAGCCATTTTTTAATCACCAGTTCATCCTTAGAGGGGAGAAGTGAGGCTCCAGTCTATCCTGATAATGTCAATGTGCTGCCCAGTACAATATGTCTTTCATATATAGATTATAATACAATATATATTCTAATCCGTTATAAAAAAAGACCCAAAAGGAAGAGAAGGATACAGCCATGTATCCTGATGTATGATGTATCTGAGGCCACCAAAATATGTTTGCAACACAACATAGCTTTTTGATAGGCAAGTTCACTTGTAGGCCAAAACCTCCCTCCCTAAATAGTTCCAGTATAATAACTATGAAATAGTATTAGTTGTGACTGTCAGTGTAGTAGTTCGTTTCAGTGTTGGTTGCAGAGTAAAACGAACTGCATCTTGTCTTCGCCTTAAGATGACGGTATCAGAGAGGCTTCAGCAGCTGCTACACCGAATGCTGTTTGTTTAAAGTAGTAAATCAGCGTTGGTACTCTTTCATTCCCTATAACATGTAATGAAACATTACAAATGACCTTTTACTTGTGTCGCAAACCATGTA